CGTTCCCCGCGGCACGCCGGGAGCGCTCGGCATCACCTCCTCGGCGCTCGCGGGCACTGGGAGCTCAGCGCTGCTCTGCCAGCTCGCCTCCTTGCAAGTCCACCAGTCACTCAGGCGAGGCTTTGGTCCTGTAAAAAAAAAAAAAATTATTCCCAAACACTAGCAGGACCAAGGAGTACATCATAGCACAGGGAACCAAACTAAGATTTCCTATGCTGTTTGTTCACCTCTTTCACTGAACACGCCTGAGGGAGCATCCCTCTGCTCTCCCTTCTCTTTGGGTTTCCCTGCCCACGGCCCCATGTCCTTCTGCGCTCCCCTCGCAAGGGGGAGTGCGGGGAGGCTGCAGGCCTCCATGCTCGCGCCTTTTGGGCTTGCAGCTCCCAGCGGGTGCGAGAAACTCGGCACTCCTCAAAAACCATCACCGGCATGAAGACCAGCTACTTCACTAAATCATCTCTGGAGGAACAATGAAACAGAAAAGCTGGAAAAAGGTTTTCATAGGGGAAAAAAGTGCACCTGAAGAGGCTACTGTCATACACATTTTTTAAACCTCGCAGAAGAAATACATGCCTGGAGGCTTTTAAACTCTGCACATTAATTGCCTTCTCTAAAAGAGGAGAGTACGGGGCTGAATCATGCTTCTAAGATGACAGATACATGCTACTTATCTTTTTATAGAATGCCAAAAGTTAATGGACCAGCTAGTGTGTAACAAATTAGCACTGCTACAGAAATTCCCAGTTTTCCATAAAATTCACCATGGGTTTAAATTAACCAGCATTCGCACACCTGCTAACACTACAGCACCAGCATTTCTGTTTGTCTTGGTCACAGAGTTTCACTGGAACCAAATCACTCAAGGTTTATGCCAAACAGTAGCTGGTGCCAGGATAGGCTCTTAGCGTTGTTTCCAAATTTGCAAAGAAATTATGGGCAAAAGAAATGTCACTACTGCGCTTGCTGGGAAACGAGGATGGAGAGGAACAGAGGGGGTTTTTTTCCTCCAGTTTGGAGGGTTGGGAGAAAGGGGACGTTTTCTTGCTTTGTTAACCTGGGGAAACAGGATTTGTTCCTTCCTACATTTTGTGCTGCCACTGCCTGGCAGTGGCCGGGGAGCAGCGGGAGAGGCTGGTGAGTGCTGCTCTGAGCAGGGCAGGCAGCAGGGCAGGCAGCAGATGCTCGCTCCAGGTATGGCACAGCCAAGCATCTTCACCAGCTGCCATCTTTTGCAGCGTGGAAAGTCAAGCTAGAGAGAGTTGGAACAAGCCAGTCCCCTCCACATGTTCAAACCTGGGCCGCATTAGCCTGTTCACTTTGCAGCAGGAGTTTGGCAGCAGACAGACATAAAGAGCCCCCCGGGCAGTCTGAGGTGATTACTGTGCCATTTGACAAAAAGCTCATTTCGATTTTGAACCCAACTGTACAGTTTCTCTGAAGGCAGAGATACTGCATCCCAGAAATTAAATGGGTATTTCTTTCCCAGACACGATGCTGGCCACCTCAACCTTCCCCACGGGGAGGAACCGTCGCTCTGCAGAGCTGCAGGCAGAACCCAGGGCTAACGTAAGCCAGGCTGGACTGGTCTCCTCCCAATGCCAGCAAGGACGGGCTTTCATTAAAACAAAAAAGTGGCAAATGCATCAGATGAAAGAAAATGAGGCGCAAATAAATTCCTTGGAGAAAGAAAAAGGAATGAAAAAAAAACCCACCCTCAAGAAAGAGGATGCCAGAAAAACCCCAAGAAGTAGCACAGAAGATCATCTGATGGGGATGCCAGCTTTCCTCTATAAAGAAAAACCACAATCATTACAGAAGAGGAGTCCCTGCATCATTAGGGTTGCCACCAGTTTCCATTATAAATAGCTCCATCTTAGCAATTGTTATGGGGCTTGGAAAACTAGCTTAAAATTGCTATGTTAACTGGCAAGGCAGGGAGAGTATTTCTGCAAGGTCTTAAAAAAAGGAACACACTGTTACTTAGCGACAAACCTTTGTCACTGCGACTTCAGAAACACGTCCATTAGCTTACTTCAAAGTAAGTAACCAAGCCACTAAAGCAGGAGAGAACGCATTTTGCCAAGATGGGGGGGAAAAAAAGGAAGGAAAAAAAAAAGTTGGGAGGCTGCCTTGGAGGGAAGTGCATCTTGTCCCAGAGCAAGAGCATCTCGGCTGGAAGGTCTGCACCACCTTTCTCAGGAAAGCTGGGAACAAGGCAGAGAACCACTATGGAGGAGTTAACCCAGCCACACAGGGGGACGTACCGACCCTCAGTCTACGCTGCCAAATCCCATTTTCCAAAATGGATGAACTGTTGTGCACAACTGTCTGAGGGAGAAGGAAATCAACCCCAAACAGAAGTGACGTACTCTGCCAGTGAAATAGGTTCATATTAAACCTCTTAAAATGAGGCTCAGACTACTTCAAGACACACGTGGGCACAGCAGTGAAGAAATCTTCACTTTCTAATAGTGAACCTGAACAGGCTCAGCCCCCAGCAAGCCCTTGCCTGTCCAGATGAGCGGCCTGGGAGGAAACAGAGCCAAAAGAAAAAAAAAAGGAGAAAAAAAAAAAGAGTGCTGCTGTGCTTCAACCAGTGCAGCACACACAGGGAAAACCAGCATCCGTGGGCACCACTCTGGTTGGGATGAGCGTGCCCCAGCGCCAGGCAGCGGCAGACAGGCACGTGCCCCACCGTACCTGGGACGCTTCCCCATGGCCGTTCCTCCTCAGGGCCGGCCGGTTCGGGATCAGATGCTGAGGAGATGAGCTGCTCGGAGCCTTCCTCACTGGCTGCCAGGTCCCCACGTCTCGCTGCTCCCTCCACTGATGCCTCGCTCTCTAAATCAGCGCTTCTGCTCTCTGGACCAAGTCCTTCAAGTGATGGGGAGCGTGAAGGCAGGCTGGGTGCCGAGCGGCTCTCTGTGGGCTGGGGGGGTTTCTGCTGCGTGCCCAAACTTCCAGCAGCCGAGACTGCTGATGTGTGGTGACCCATAAAGACTGTTGCTGGATGATACAGTCCCCTTGGCATGGCTGCCCCGCTGCTAATTCCTGCCCGTCTTCCAACCCGTGGCATCTGAAAAACACAGGGGGGAGATGGCTTAAGGAAACAAACAGTCACCGTGCTGCAAACGGAGCTTCTAGAGGATCATGTGTTGGTTTCTGGAGTGAAAAGTATCACAGAATGCAAGTATTTTGTACAGTATTATTATTACACAAACACTTGGCACACATTTCTTGCATCCTAGTGTGAAAACGAGGGCCCGGACATCAACTGAAGCTCCGTGAGCCAAAACAACCAGCAGCAAAAGCACACTGCACCCCCAACCCAACTAAAAGGGACTGAAATACACAAAGGACTCAAACTAATCTAAACGGTAACTGTTTTTTACAAACAGGCAAACTTTTAAGATTAGATTCCTGCAAAGGCTTTTAAGACCCTGGACCAAAGGATGACATTTAGATCTACCCACCAAAGTCACTGAAAACACCTTTAAGTTACTGACTTGAGTGGAAGCCTCGTGCTCTACTTGTGCCTGACTTTGCACAGCCTGGTAGCCTGTGGTTTAGGTACCGCAGCATCCTGAAGCCAAGGCTTCCTTAGGATCATTAGGACCCGTTGCAGTGTCCACGACACAGCCGGCCTTTCCAGAGCCATCCGTAGCAGCTGCTCCAAGCAACCTCCTCCTGGCTCTTCTTCTGGTCTTCTCTAGAAGGCAACAGGATGAGGAAGGGTCCCCAGGGAGTTTGAAACGTACATCTGCCATCGCTTACTTGCCTACATATCCAGCTTTGCTCGCAGCATGTCAACAAAGCAAATAAGAATGAGGCAAAAAAAAAAAAAAAAAGTCACTGTATTCATTGTCTTCCTTCTGCTCTTTCCTGTCTGTTAAAATCACAGCAAAGAGGAAGAACGACTACTCAGTTAACACCACGTAGATGAAATCGCATTTTCCACATGGCAACTTTGGGCACCGAGCAGAAACGTTTTAAATGGCACTTTCCTCCAAGAACTGTTGAACTTGCATAAAAATAGTTCCAACAGTATAACCACTCTGCTTCTAAATCCCAGTGTTTCAATACTTGCCTCTTTTTCTTTGTAAACCTACTCAATCAGAACAATTTAGGAGGAGTGGCTACTGCCACCACTACTACTAAAAGGTCACCGCCAGTTTATGCAAAGCCAAAATTAGCTATCGTAATACCATTGTTCATACTAAGCAGGGCTTACTTTTCAGCCCCAAATCACAGCAGGACAATTTACAGTCACCTTCACACCTCTCTCCTCTCTTTCATTGCCTGACCTCTTCCCACCATACAAAGTCAGCTGCCAAGCCCAGCTTAAAGGAAACAAAGGCATCTTGTCTAGTCTGTGACCAAGTTTCATTAAAAAAGCTCAAATTCCACGTAACAAGAAGCAGAACAAAAAGCCATGAAGTTATTTTAAGAAGGAGTAAAGGTTTGCTACTCAGATTAAGTTCACAGCTTATTCCATCACCACTGCTCTTGGGTTCCTCCTAATTACTTTTTGGGTCTTGGATTTGCTGCTTTAAAATGCATCTAGCAAGTACTTTATGGATTTAGCAGCTCCTGGATGTAGCGTTCCAAAACAAATGCAATTCAGACAGGTACAAGTGCTTGGCAAAGTCATAGCAGACACATATCTCTAACAAGCTCCTCTTCGACTGCAGAAAAAAAATTAATCTCTTCACCACCTTTGCATTCTCAAAGCAGAAGAATGACAGATAACATTGGTCTACCACCAAAACCAAAAGAGTAAAAATGTGTAGATGACTTACCTAAAACAGTCAACAAAATTACTGACCTTCATGTCACTCCAGCCGGGAGTTAAATGAAGCCTCTGCACAAAGCACACTTACAATCCTCTTTTTGGTTGTGGCGTGTAGGCTCCCCACTTCCTCCTCCAGTAACAAATACAATCTTTTTTTATTATCATTAAAGTGTTTTGAAGAGAACAAAGATAAGAAAAAAAAATCCCTTCCATTAGGACTTACAAAAGGGCCCAGTCTCCCCCGGCAGCAGACGACCACGTGAAAGCTAGGGAGGTGAAGTCGAGCCAGAGGCTCGTCTCTCCCAGGGGCTGGTGACACCCCTTTCTCAGGGAAGGACGCTCTGCCACCCACCAGTGCCCCTGGGAGGTCCCCTGTACCCTACGGCCAACAGAACATGGCAGCGTCAAGATGCACAAGTCCAAAGTCCTCAAAAGACTTCAAGAAAGTGCTTCGAAGTTGAAGAAGCCAGACTTCATGGCACAACGGTTTCAGACACCCAGGTCATGCAGCTCTGCCAGCTGAGAAGGACCTCTTCAGTACAGGACCTCTCCTCCACCTCGGAACACCGGGCTGCCGTGACACTGCGCTTCAGAAGACTGCTGCTCAAGCCCTTTCCATGGAGCATCATGGTCTTCTAGACAAACACTGGGTATATGATTTCTGAGCTTAAGGACCCCCATAAAAATTGAGAGTCCAAAAGGTGCATATCCCATGGCTCAGACAAGTACCAGACATTCACACTGGTGTTTTAGGGGCACTGGGATACTGACCCTCTCTAGAAGATTGCTTCTGTGATTATCCTTCTTGGTCTCCAAGACGCATCACTGACAAGGTTATCACACGACCACCGGCATCCTGACTAGCCCGAAGGAAACCATTACGATACCAGCGCTGGTAAATAAAACCAGTTCCAAGCTGTGATGATTTGCATCCTGGATATACCACCTGCTAAACGCATGTGCTCGCTATGACTGACTCGCTGGCATGTCACCAAGAACAAACTCTCATATTTTGGACATAATAAACAGATTTTAAGTGAGGTGAAGGTGGTGGGAAACTGGCACAATCAGTCCGGAGAAAAATGGAGTCGGAGAGTAAGATCTGAGACACGGCATAGACAAGGCAGAAGGATGCACAACCTAGTTGAAGTTACCTCTGTATTTGAGGTGGGAGATGAGGAGAAAAAAGGGGGCAAAAGAGTCCACAATCAAGCTAGTAACTGTAATTCAACATAAAGTGACATATTTGGGTACGTACCAAGTTCTTGTACTGTCCAAAACCTGCTAACAGTTTTTAAAAATCTAAGTCACACCATGAGTCTTTGATGGTCTAGTGTTTATGAAAACTTTTCCATAGGATAGAATTATGTCTCCGACACCGACTGCTTTTCATTGAAGAATCTAGCATTCAAAAATCAACTCACCTTTTCACATACATCTGAATTAAAAATGTAATCTGCAAACTGCTGGAGGCCTGCTTATATAGGTCAAGGTTGCTCGGGTTCATCGCTTTGTATATTACAGTTTAAAGAATGCTCTAAATTCAAGGTTTTTAACTTTTTAATCTATGGGGAAAACTTCCTATAAACTCAGATTAACGACTGCTAATGCACTGAAGAAAGAAAACCGAAAACCTTCCTCCTACTATAAAAACAAAATAGTGTGGCCTCTGTTTCTTTTCTGATAAGAGTCTTAAATACCAAACATTTAACTGCATAATAACATTTACTGGCAGCCAGGCAGCCTGCTTAGCAGATATATAAAGCAGGTAAAAGGAGAAAAAGTTAATTTCTTGGCTGAATGATTCCATCGGTAGCTATAGGGCAAACTAGAAAGTCTTTTAGTAAAGTAGCAGTTGATTCTTCTATCAATCTGCAGCACACATACTCTTCCAAGGAATGCATTAAATATGAAAATCATATCCCGTTATCATCTGTTTCCAGCTTTCAGCCCAGTAAGCTTTTCTTAATGAATGCTGTAGCCTAAGGGACAAGCATGCTGTTGGCTTTTCTGAATAATGGAGTGATGCTACCATTTCTGCTTATTACAATATCAACTAGCTGAGGGGGTTTCACACATAGTCACAAGTGACTACTCTTGCCAGCATGCTCCAAGTTATTACAAGATGTTTTTAGACATTTCATCTAAAAGAGCTTTACTGCTTTTAGTGAAGAAAACAGCTACGGTCTTGAACTGTATCATTTATATGGAGATAGGAGGAGGGATTAGAAGCCTGCATTACTGCAGATATATAGCAGAATATATTTAAGTATTCCTTGTCAGTCTTTTTGTCTGTTACTTAGATATACAATCTCTTTTTGCTTCTTCTGAGAAAAGGTCAAAACGCACAAAATTATAAATACACTGTACGAATCGACTGCCGCATTTTTAAAAATATCATTCATTAAGAATATTTCCTCCTCGGTCAAGACCATTTTCACACTATTCGGCACAGAAATTACAAAAACCGACATGAAGATGAACAGAAACAGTTAGAGTTCTCCCCCCTTTTAATTCTAGTTCTTTGGCTGAAATAATTGCACTTTTTACCCAGGTTATTCTACTTCACTCAGGCACTAAACAGTATTTCACACTACAAATGCCACAACAAAAATCCCCACGCAGAGACTGCTTAGCAATGCCTGCCTCTTCACGCAGCAGCTCAGAGGAAAGCGCATCAGTGCAATAGAACGCATTTCCCCCCACTTCTTTCGCATTACCTGCTCGTCGTATGCTCCCTCCTTGTCACCTTCTGCTGACGAGTTACCCTCTTGAAGTGATAACGCACTTTTAATTTCTCTTCCATACCATGCCTAAACGTGAACAAATCCATTACACAAAATTGAAGGCCAAAACCCACCCCCACCACAAATCAACAAATATTACTTTGCAAATCGTGCACTTTTAAAGGTAACGTTCTAGTGCATTTTTTACTTGGACTATATTTAAAAAGCCAGAGATCCCATTTTCCTCCTAATTTTTCCGCTTCCCTGAACAAATGACATGGCCTGTACCCATCTTCTGCGGGTTTTTAATATACATTTATTCATTCGCGTAATTTAGAATGCTACAAAATAGTAATAACTTGTTGACTCAAATTTATTTCATCCCGACTCCTATTTGTAATGCCAAATTATTTCTGCTGCATCCAGACAAGGACTCTGCTGCTTTGGGATGAAATGAGCTTTAGAATTTGTTTACATACATCATCTCACAACTCATTGAGCTATTATAGGGAAAAATATATGGCAGATGTTGTAAGGAGCAGCCCAGCATGAAAGGCAACTTGCTGTAGTGTTACTAACAAACAACTGCATAAACCGTCTTCACCTCCACTACATTGTTTAATTGACCAAATGTAATGCATTCATAGTAGGACTACTGCTTAAAAGCCAAGCACATGCAGCACCTATAATTAATCCTGTTTGTTAGTAATTGTAAACCCCAATAACAAGTTACATTGGCCTCGAATGAAAGCACTTCAATACCTATTCTGCATCAGGTAATATGCATGAAAATAAATCTTTAAAACAATTAACTTAACCAGCTCTGCACTTCACTCCAGCGGTGCATTCAGCAAGCTGGCTATTTCCCAGGTAATAGAAGCTGTTCATAAAATTGTAAACAGGACATTTTAAGAACCAAAAACTAGACACATGAGAATTAAAGACGCTCAAAATAAACTCAAATGCAACTACTGGATTTTCCCCGCAAGCTTAAGTGCATTTACTTATACTCCCCAAAATTACTGAACAAATTGCAGACACACAAACACAGGGGAAAAAAGTGAGTCTTGCAGAAACAGCCACATCAAACTGTGTACACAGTTATGATAAAGCACTCCTAAAGGGCATTCTCCCTCTGTGAAAAAAAAAAAAAAAAAGAGAAAATAGTAATAATTTCTTTCCACGTACTTCATGATAGATTAAACGATTACATGCTCCATAATTCTTACGCAATCCACAACAAGGGGGCTTTTCATAACTGTAACTTAGAGGATATGTAATCTGCGCCTTGTTCAACAGCTCAGGAAAAAATAAGTCTAACCTGGCAAAAATAAAACGGATGGCACAGAAACATCAAAATGGACGCAACGAACGAAAGCCCTGCATGCAGATCAACCCGTGGCACAACGTGACTCACACCGGTATGTTCTAACAACCCACCACTAGTCAAACGGGTGCGCATTAGGGTTGCTCAGGAAAAAAAAAAATTCCTTTAAAAACAGAGGAAACCTAGCATCACAACATACCCCCCGGTCCTGCTCTGCTTTAAATAAAAATTTAAACAAGAAAGAAAATGTGGGGAAACCCTGCACGCGCAGCCAGGGACAGTCTCTAAACTGTATGTCACTGAACTGAAGCAAGGAAGAGACGCTCTGTGAATGTCACCAGACCCCACAGGCTTAGAAGAATTACCAGGCGCTAGCTGGGCTACGGTTGTGCGAGGAATTGATTCGTGTGAGCACGCAACCATGGAGCGTTAGCCAGCCCATTGGTTTAGTGGAGTGGAAATCAGTTGCCGCCGTAAGAGACTTTAGTATAGAAGAGTTTCATCATATTTCTGCACTAATTATTAAAAAAAAAAAGAAGCAGCACTAATGTAACTGTTCAACCTACAAATAGCATTACTGATACATAACCATAAGGAAAAGACTGAAGCCATTTACCCCAAAAGGGCTAAGCAGGAAAAGAAGTCTGTTCACATTTATAAAGGAGGGTCTGAAAGACTGGAAAATTAAGAGAATCATCAAATTTTACTTCAGCATAAAAAAAAATCATAGCAATTCAGGCCTAGTGGTAACTGATCTTTATATCTCAACACAAATGAAATGACTATAAGTGCTTTTTTTACTTCCACAACTCCTTTTTTTCCCCTCCCATATTCTTTTAAGATATTAAGGTAGATTGACTACATACTGGAGGTACAGAAATCCCCATTTCATTATCAGTTCTAGCCATCATGGGAAACAGGAGCTTGCCAGAAGACAAATATTTTTCTCCAAAAAGAAAACGCTGCAGAGTCAAGCTGACTTTTGACAACTGTTTCCACAATGAGAATTACAGACCAACCCAATCAGAACAAGCTGAGCAAACAGCAGAGGGTGGCTAATGTAGCTGCTGAACGGTCACTTTCGTTTGTCCTCATGAGAGCTTTTATTCTGTCTTTTAAAATGTAATGAGCATGCATGTTTTCTACCTGTTGCGGTGATTTTTAAGAAATTAGTCATTTAAAAACAGAACAAGCATGTATTAGTTTGACAGCCTCTTTCATCAGGATAATTCACCCCAGCGTGAGTTCTCAAACTGGTGACATTCAGTGACGTCAGCAATAAGACCTCTTTTGCAAATGCAGACCTTTGAGCTGACAGCAGTCAAGGCTATGGGTGGGGAAAGGAAAAGCAGCACAGCTGCGGTCATCTTGGAAAACAAAGATGCTACAAAGACGACAGCAAGAAGTATATTCTATTGCATATTGGCTCTTTTAAAGTAGTCATTTGGTACCACCACACTCCTACCATGTCAGTTATGGTGCACAATTCAAGTATATAAGGTGATGAAACACTCCTCGGGCTTTTCTTTACCAGCCCAGAAGGACGGTTTGAAATTTCCAACTCTGAAGGCACGTGAACCAAATCTCTCTGAGTACATGCAAAAACGTTACCAAAAGCAGAGATCCGGGCGATGCAACAGGATGCTGGAGGAAGTAGTTTATTCTCTTACCACTGTTCAAGTATTGCTAGTTGACTGTTCAGTAACAGAACTAAGCGTGACCTCATTTTAGCTCAGCTTTAGTCCAGGTAGTTCAAACACAGTAATTGTAGCAGAAGTTATTTACTCTTACACTTCCTCTGCCGATAAAGACTGAGCAATATGCAAGGGCAAGACTAACTATGGCTATTTAGGGTGCTCACACCAGCAAAATCTAAAATATGTCCTGAAACAACTTCCATGAAATGTATTTGAGTATTTTTAAGTAATAAAAGCCTTACTAACATACAGTCTTATAACAAACTCTTTATGAAAAATATTACAACTCAAGTCATCTTTTTGTCCTAACCCAGATACTGCTGGTTTATCATCTTATCACTAACACTCCAAACACACGATCCATTTCCAAATGTTTTTGATCTCTGTTCTCCCTCGCTTCCAAGAGACTCAGAAGCATGGGGCACTTTACTGTAGACTAAATGTAGAGTTCCACGAGGTGTTGCTGACTACCTCTGCAGCTACAGTAGGGTCTATTACATCGTATATTACAAGGGTTTGGGTTCATTTCAAATTCCCAAACATTACCGCTTTAAGCACTGCAAAACATACGACGGGGTTTCACTAACATCTGAAGCCTTCATGTGCATAATACTCAGACAAAACCAATTTAGCAACCCTGTAGTAATAGTAAACACTAACGTATTAAGTCTTATAGAAAGTTACTTCCATCTTCTGAATCATCTCTGAACTTGAAGTTTTCATATGAGCTTCAAACTGGTTGAATTCCTTTAAAAATGCCTGGTTTCGCAGAAGAGCTCCTTTTTGTCGTTCCTCTATTTCTTTCAAGTATTTTTTCAACTCCATGTATTTTAGTTTCATTCTACAGGGGGAAGAGAAACAGTACTTAAAGAGTACGAAAATAAACAAATCTATTACAATCACTTTTCTTCAGACACATACATACTAACACTCATGTAGGAGCCGGTCCCCAAAAAGGAGTAGACACATTCTTCTGCACGGCTGTCTACAGCTACGTTATACAACTGACAGGATGTATCCCACATAACTTCAGGTTTAAACAGGGGGTTTGGTGTTCAAAAGGATAAGTACGTTAAAAAACTCTTGTAAATGTGTTTTAAATGGATTATGTTTTAGTCGCTTATATCACATTAAATCAAAATGAAAATTATATTTAGAAGAATGTGCTCTGAAAGTCGCACAAATTGTAATGTCACATTAAGGCTGTGGTTTCACAACTGATTTAGGCCAACCCAAACCCACACTGCCTCCAAAAGGGGCATCTCACCCTGCACTCCAAGCCCTTCTTTTTTGTGCCAATACTATCTGCTATGTGTCCACATGGCAAATTAGGCCAAGAGTAATCCAGCTGAAAATCCATCTAAACCAGTTCTCACCCACCCAAAAAAGAGGTTCACTTTCAGCCAGACCTATTTTCTTATCTGATTACAGGGCAGCCACGCACGCGTTAGTGCCAACAAAGGGGAAATGTGAACCAGGGGCAGTCAGGAGCATCTTTTGGTCTCGATCTGCCTAGAGGTCTGCTTAAATCAGTAGTGAAATTGCAACCTAAATCCCCCAAGCTGGCAATTTTTTCAGAGAAACGTCAGTTCAAAACCTGCTAGATTGAAATAAATCAAATAAAAACAGAAAACAAAGTACATGTGATGTTACCCCACCCGTTAAGGCATTTTTTTCTTAAATTTATATGTTCATTTTCTAATCTAAAGGCCCTCTTTCAGAAGAGAATTCCTAAGGGATTGGCCATTATTGCACCTAGCCCTCAGCCCCTTGAGCCAAGACAGAAAAGTGACCTCCATGAGCTTTACAAAACACATTTGAGGAAAGCAATACTGGATGAGACACTTTTCAGCCCTCTTGTTGTTGTTTGGGGTTTTGGTTTTTTGGGGTTTTTTTTTTTTTTTTTTTGCTTTGTTGTTTAGGGTTTTTTTTGTACAGACTGTATATGCAATTTACATTAAACAGGTAATGCAGAAACAATCCAAGGAGCAGGACCAGAACCTAGGATATCCTCTAGCACTTCCTAAAACTTTCAGACTAAGGCCCTAGTACTTTCTAGCACACACTATGCTACAGGGATTTTACAAAAGTTGCATAAAACCAACTTGCATGTTAGTTATTGCTAAGAAAATAACATTTCAGTATTAACAGAATAAGGTAGTTATGTTATTGCTGAGGTTATTTCATCAGTAACTTAGAGACATGAATCTTACATTATACTCAACTATGAATATAAATGTATTGTTATAAAAAAACCTTCCAGATAACATTCTAAAAGCATTCCATGATACCCAAGACTTTGTAACTAAAATAAAATAACCTATAAGAAGCTTTTAAATAGGCTTACAGGCACGCATCAGACTTTCTGTATTCCATCAGTTTTCTTTCTAATTCCAGCCTTTTGGCTTCACTGGAAGAAAACAAACAACATAGAGCAAGATAAAACTATTTCACAATTTAAGTTCTCAAAATGCAAGAAATAAAGCATTTCACAGAGCATAAACTTTTCAGAGCAGAAAGCACATTTTTGCTAGATTGGTAGCCTTACAGATTGATCTACCATCCAAGCTTATCACAAAAAAACACCCCAAGCCCCCAAACCTCAAAGCTTTAACTTCTCTCTTTGCAACTCATTGGAACAAGAGCGAGGTTGTTTTAAAGGGAAAAGCTGCCTGAAAATCTATGTATCCACACAAGACCCACCAAAATAGCCTGAGACTTCTGCCCAGCTTAAGCTGCTGTTTCAAGTCCCTTCTCCAGCAGCCCCAGGAAGGGCTCTAAACCCCGGGACCGGCATTCACGGGCTCCTCTCTCCCTTTCTTCCCACTCCAAGTCCCCGAGCAGACGGCTTTCAATGCAGCTTTGTACTCGTTCAAACGGACAGCTCCCCAGAACTTCTCATAGGAATCTATCAACACGTTAAAATAGATTTCCAAATCTCTTTCCCAGCTTGCAGACCCAAGGCGCTATCCAAGCATTTCATTTAACGATTTGAACTTAAAATCAAGTACGTATTTCACAATTATGCATTAAAGCCAAGTACATCTAGAGATATGCTAGCACTACCTGCCAGAACTTACTAAAGGGTAACAGATATAAGTAGCCATCAAAAATATTTATGGTTGTGAGAATGCCACGAGGCTGTCTGTATCTGCCAAAAGCAATGCAAGGGTATAGGCCCACGGGGGCGATCAGACTGCTTAAGAACAAACTCCAGACCTCACCTACAACCTATTTCAAAGAGAATCTACTTCCAGGAAGATAAAAGAGTAAAGCTGATGTTATTTAATAATTACAAATTGCATATGAGGATGAGCAACCATCCCATGAACAGAGGCTTCCAGTAGATTCACATTACAAACCCTGCAACAATTAAAGCAAGGACCCCAAGTTGCTTATTAAAAAATAGTATCAAATTCTTATTAGCCAGGAAGGCTGTACACGTGCAAGTGATACGGGCAGATGCATGAGATTGCATGCACCCGTATGGCCAGGCACGCTTATCTGTGGATTTGTGCACTCCCTACAAATGTGTCTGTGTCACAGCCACACACATTTGCCTCCTCCCAGCTGCCCGGAACAGAGGAAAGCAAGGAAAAAAACCCTTTCTGCTTCTTAGTCTGAGAGATCAAGGCATCCATTTTACCCATCTGATCCTGCCACTGTCTGAAACAAGATTAGGTTTTCATGTCATGTATGCAATTTAAAAGCCACGCTTCATCTGGGATCTCATCCTTTCAATTTCCTTTTACATGACGGACAGCTAAGCAAAAGCAGATTTCAAGATCTTGTTTTTACACTTCTAGAAGTAATTTTCATGACTCAATGACGAACACTGATATCCTGATGGATGTAAAAGCCGACAAATGTGAACAGCCATTGGCTCCAATCCTATTTCTCATTCTCCAATACCACAGGTAGCACATCACATTCCTTAGCTCCCAAAAGAGCGTTCCCTTTCTACCAGCGTGGTTTTTCAGCATCCCAGTCATTAGTCTGTTACAGCTATTTAGACAGCCCATGAATGTGTAAGTAAGGTCTTCCCAAGGCAAGACAAAGCAGTGTAAAAAACACCAGGTAAGAGCCTCTCAGCATCTGAGTATCATCGTTATGGATGCCTAAAATGGTTACCGCACAGCTTGTGGTGTTTCCCAACGCAGCTCTGTCCAAGCGGTGAATTAGAGGCAATCAAGACTTTACTCGCGGATTTGCTTGCCCGGGTGCTGGCAAGGTTCCAGCACAGTTTCTTTGTGTCAGCGACAGAAGCCGAAGCTTGAAGCAGTACAGGGATCATCCTGGCCACTCCACTGCACCACCACCTCCTTTTGCACATGAAAAAAAACCCAAAGCTCTCTGCCCCGAAACTTTTATTTGTTCATGCAGTTGTGCATTAGGCTAAAGTGGTGCAAACAGTCAGGTATCAACTTTTTTCTTAAATGGGCAAAAATAGCACACTTCAGAACTTTTTAAGGACCCAGGTGGCTCACTTTCAAACAACCCTGAATCTTCAGTCTACAGAGAAAGAGCGTTAGCCTGGGATTTGAGAGCAGAATTAAGTTCCCCGGTCAGCCACAAGCTCTCTCTAATCTCTGGCATTTCACCAGGCATCGATCTGTAGCGATATTTGATCCCTCACCTCCCATTTAAACCAGCAGGACTGAGATGCCTCAGGGTTTTTTGAGATACCAGGCCTTAGTCTCTTTGTGCTTCAGTTCCGCATCCATAATGTAGGAAAAACAGTACTCCTGTCATGATACCCTGTTGAGATAAGTACGTGGAAAATTGCGCAACACTTGGCCACAATGCAATCTTCCCATAAAAGTAAGAAATGTTATTTTTACAGTTGTTTTTCTACACCAGTCTGACATTAAATCAACTGTTGAGCACCGAGCTGCATCCACCTTACTAGCGTGGAGCCTGGGCAGAGCCTGCTCAAGCCTTAGCCAAGAGCACGGGTCCCCTGGGCAGGTTAGAGGGGGCCTGGTTAGCACCATCTTCTCCACCCAACTGATACCAGCAGATGGTTCTGAAGCTAATAACCCTACCTGCTTTACATTCCCTGTTCAGGACATCTCGGTATTTGTACACGTTTACTGCAAACCGCCCTTAGCATGAAGCATCTGGCCTTGCTGCCTGAAAAGCGAAGCTAATTGCAAAGTTAGTCACAGTGTTAAGTACAGCACTTAACTATATCATTCATTTACTTCATCGCCCACGCTGCTCAAACACTGCCTTGCTCACCAGCAACCGCTGAAGATTAAGTGCTGAGTAATCACAACACGGCCAGCTCTGTGTAAAACACAGAAGGCAAACTCTCTACCCCACTTCACTTATCTTAGACACCTTAAACCTAACTCTCTACAATTTTGTACGCAACACAGATACCACTGACCTACGTACAGAGACCTACGCATGCAGTAATTTTTATATTTAGAGCAGACAAAGTACCAGCGTTAGGAAATAAAACATGGCCAACAGAGTCTAACATGTAATTTCAGATACAGCTATGGGTTTTTTGCACAAGGCTCGAGGCAGTCCATGCTGACTGTTTATCAGAAGCTTAATATCTGGTGGCTAACTTCTCAAGCACTTCAGAACTTAGATATTTAAAGAAAAAAAAAAAGATTTATGAGAACAGGTGGAAGAGAAATATTCATGAGAACTCCCTTCTAGTTGACCAAGTCAGATAGGAGACATAACCAAGCAGCAGCTTCCTTGCCATATTCAAGCTCTTGTACACACGGCTTATTAGTAGTGGCTCGTTGTTTGCTTAAGCACAACTGCGACCTGAAAGCAGGACTGCAGTCAGGGGCGAAACAGCTGCCGGGTACTTCAGGTCTTAGAACAGGTGACTTGGGATTAGATCAGTGCAGAATTCCAAAGCAGGACTTAAAAAGATGAAATGCTCCAGTGCTTTAACCATTTTTTTAATATTTTCCACTTTAAAAAGTTGTTTAGATAAAAGGTATCACTTCGAGACATTCTGAAGGGGCAACGGCCTCTGCAGCACCATTCCCAGAGGCCACAGCAGCATGCAACTTACAGTCTGGCATAAAAGAATTACTCCTCGTTTGTCAACACCACCAAGTACAAATACATCTGTTATATTTTAAAGTACATACAGCAGAAGTGTGCCAGGAAGAAAAGGTCTGCTTATCATCACAAGACCTGTTAAGTGGGCTCTCGCCTATGCAGTCATGTTGCCTGTCTGCCTGGAATTCCCCTTCCCCAAATGACTCCTGAATCTTTTGGTGCAGCCAAATTAGACAGAGGAGCTGACGTCCGAAATGTACTGCGTTCCCAGAGGTGTCGGAGGAGCCGAAGAGGGGTACTCCATTTGGGCAGTGCGAGCTCAGCCCTAGCTCAGGCAACAGAGCAGCTAGAAAAGGGGTGACCAGCCTCCACGCAGATCGGGCTCTCGGGACGCGCAAGACATCTCTAGTCCTAACACGAGGGACATCTGCACACAAAGACATGGTTTAAAGCAGCATGCAGTCTAGAACACTCAGATTTTAGTCTGCCCCCTCCATTTTCTAATGCTGCAATTTAGATAAAGTGTTTTCCCTACCCAGGGCCCACATCTTTAATAATTTCTATACAATAAACGTATACTTTGTATATTCTTATCCAGTCTTTTAAACAGCAAGTTATTCCTGTCTTGTTTGCCAGTGGTCTTCCAGACCAGAACAGGATATTAGTGAAAATATACGCAGCATTTTCGTAAAGCGCTATCTACATGCGAGTTTAGATGCTGATGGCCATGGTGTTACTACTTCTGCTACTACTGTATGTTTGAGATGCTAGCATGAGACCCAGAAATCAGAGTCTTCTGTATTAGACAGAAAACAGGTACTGCTCAAAAAGCAACTTCATAACAGTACACCATAAGTGACCTCGAGAGACTTCCTCTGGCCAGAAAAAAAAACCGCTAATTGACACCAATTACTGCGGTTATTGCAGCGAGTAGCAGGCCAGGAGCATCGCTAATTGCGCACAGCTCCAGAGCCGACCGTTGACTGGGATCCTTCAGGCCAAGGCCCCTTCCGAAAGCGCACATCGCCACGTACGCTTGCTTTTTTCCTGAAAGTCAGACCTGCCCCGAAGCACCCACAAACCGAAACACCTAAAAGATGTTTTTTGTAAAGATTAAGATGTCTGTGAGAGAAGCATCGGTGCATGTCCATTCATCAAGTAGCCAGCTGTGAAGTATCAGCATCGATATTATTTGCTCGGTTGCTTAAAGCAAGTCATTTTCACAGAATCACTGAATCCTTTAGGTTGGAAAAGCCCTTTAAGCTCATCCAGTCCAACCATTAACCTAACGCTACCGAGCCCACCACTAAACCAATTCAGGGGAGAGGAATAATTTCATGTTT